CACCCTTCACCTGCGCCCGCCTGCCTGTGCCCCCAGGGCCGTGCGAACCAGCCTGAGCCTGCTGTGTGCGGAGCTGCGCAGCACCGGGGAGCCACCCGAGAAAAGGAGCCGCCTGGACCGGGGTGTCTACGTGGGCCTGCAGGCCGCCCCTGCGGTGAGCACCCGCCCACACCCCAGGTCAGGGCTGCCGGTGCCCGGGGACAGGCAGAGGTGTCTGCTGCCCCAGCCAGCACCCTGCTGGGGTTGCCAGGTGGCTGGTGGCAGGGCTGGCTCCAGCCTGCAGGCGTGATGGGGCCGGTCACTGGGCAGATGACTGGGAGCCCTGGGACCCTGGCACACATTACCCGTGCCGGCATGATGGAAACAGATGGTTAGGGGCTGCTTCCATCCCCCCCTCCCGCCCTGTCACCATGCAACAAGGAGGTGGGTGCAGGGCCCGACCCACAGACGTGGTCCCCAGCCAGCCCCGGCCCAGCTGTTGGGGAGGGAGAGGCACCACAGTGGGATGTCTGCCCTGAGATGAGAGAGCTGTGGGGACAGCACTGGAGGCAGGACTAGCAGACTCGAGTTCAGGGCCGCCCCGCCTGCCCCAGGGAGATGCGTGGGATCAGCCCATTACACAGAACTTCCCGCAACGTGCCCGCCGCGCAAGACCAGGGGCAGCGAGGGCCCCGCTAACGCTATTGCTCCATGGCGTTCTCCCCACCTCCGTTCACCCCCCCGAGGGAGAATAATGTCTGGGTAACAGGAACAAGGGCCCCTGTGCTCTGGAGGAGTCCGGGAACACTGTACACAGCGCTGGCACACCACCGGGTAGTGGGCGGGCGGGGGCAGCCTACCCTCACACCGGGGGGCTTTCCATGGGCGGCTCTCCCATGGGCTGCCAGCACCTGTTCCTCCTCAGTACTGGGGTGTCCTTCTCCCCATTGCAGGATCCCGGGAGGGGTTGGTGAGAGCTGGGTCAGAGCATGTCACCTCACCCCAACCTGAATCCCTGTCTTTGGGATGTGCCCCCAGTCCCCCTTTAGAAAAACAGGCATCTGTCGTCACCTGCTGTGTGCTGTGTCACCGTGCCCTGCCACCCCCAGCCTGAGTGGGTGGGCAGTCGGGGGAGTTGGCGGAGGCCCCCGAGGCCCCCAGGGGTGCTGCCCTTTGAGTGCGCACTGGCAGAGGGAACTGCGGGGTGCCCGTGAGCACAGACCCTACGAGTGCAGCTGACACCTTCCTGTTCGTCCACAGGAGAAGGTGCAGTGCAAGAAGAACGTCCCCCAGGGCAAGCTGGCTGCCGCGGTGGCCCACAAGGTGGCCCAGCTAAAGCCGAAGGTCAAGAGCAAGGGGTTGCCCACCGGCCTCAGCCCCTTCCGGCGGAAGGAGGCCGCCCCAGGTGGGCGCATCCACAAGAAGCTGTCCCGAGCCAAGAGCGCCAGGGTGGCGGGGACAACCCGGCCCCCACAGCCCGAGGGCGACAGCGGCAGGGAAATGCCCAAGTTCCTGGGCAAGCCGGCAGGGACCACGGGGCATGAGGCAGGCAAGTTGTGGGCCGGAGCTAACCATGGCAGGGGACCTCCAGGCTGCATTTGCTGGGGGGCCCAGAGGAAGGGCAGGTGGGCGGGTGCCGAGCCACCTCCCAAGCCGAGTCAGGGCTGGTGGTGGTGACAGGCAGAGGAAGGACCTTTGGATGGACAGGCTGGGGGAAGGAGGTCAGGGTCTTCTTGGAGGTGACCCCCCCAGGGTCAGAGCTCAGTGCCTGTCTAGGTGCCCCTCATCTCAGTCACATCCTGGAAAATGGGGTTAAAAATAGCCCCCGCCGCCCAGCTTCTTCCGCAGCAGCGGCCAGGGCGGCCAGGCTGACCCAGAGGTGCAGTCTGGCCCCCAAAACACATGTGTCCAGAGACCCTCCTGGACAAACAGACACTTCCTCCTCAACCCCCCAGGGGCCTCCCTGACAAAGAACAAAGGAAGGAGCCCCTTGCTGAGGGGAAGAGGAAGCAGGAGGGCAGCCAGGCCCAGGAGGAGGCAGGAGGGGCTGCCGGGGAGGGAAGAGGGATCCTGCCTTGCCCAGGCAGGCGCCCATGCCCAGGGTGAGAGAGAAAGATGGCGCTAGAGGGCCATCACCCTCAGCGTGGAGGCCTGGGCCCCATTCCCTCCCACCTGGGGAGGGGCAGCCGAGGGGGTGACAGCGACCCGTCCACCACAGCCCCAGCGTGCCCTCACGCGTGCATGCAGTCAGCCTCCTGGCACCCCAGCATGGTGCCCCTTGGTCGCCCAGTCACGGGACTCCTGCCCCTCTCAGGCAGTGGCTCTGACAGCGAGGAGGGCGAGGGCCTCCTGGAGGCCGAGGCACTGCCCAAGGAGCCGGGGCTGGCGCTGCACGCGGGGGCCGGTGTGGCCGTGCTGGGGCCCTCGCCCTCTTCTGTGGTCAAGATGGAGGCCAACCAGAAGGCCAAAAAGAAGAAGGAACGGCAGGGCCTGCTCGGTAACCACAGGGCAGTGGGCTTGGGCTGGCGAGCTGCCAGTAACCACAGGGGTGGTGGGCCTGGGCGGGGGGCTGGGATGGTGGGCTGGCGGGGCCTGCTCGGCAACCTCAGGGCGTTGGGCTCTGGCCGGGGAGCCTGCAGGGGACGCCCTGCAATGCCTCCCCTCCCTCCCACAGGTGCCTGCCGCCTGTCCAGCCCCGAGAGCGAGGTCAAGATCAAGAGGCGGGCGGTGAAGGCAAAGGTGGGAGCTAAGCTGGAGCGGGCCCCGGGACGGAGGCCTCCTGGAGCTCCCGACAAGAAGAAAACCAAGGGCAAGGCCAGGGGCGGCCTGAGAGCAGAGCCAGGGGCTCCCACCACCAGGGATGCCCTCTTCGGCCCTGCCCGAGCCTTCGCCTGCCGGGAGGAGGGCAGCAGGCTGGCCAGTGAGCGCCTCCAGAGAGCCACACGGAAGGCCTCCGTGCTGCAGCCAGTGCTTCGGGTGAGGCTCGGCTGGCGCCGCAGGGTCCTGGGCCGGAGGGTGGGGGGCCTGGATCGAAGAGGCCTTCGAGGACCCTCCCCACCTAGCTCCCTCCTCACACCCCTGGGTCAGGGGTGCCACCCTCACACTGCCCTTCTCTGCCCACCCCCACCCAGCGGAAAAACGGGGCACTGTCTATCACCCTATCACCCCGCAACGCCAAGGCCATCCTGGGCAAGGGCAGGAAGCTGGGCAAGGTGAAGAGCAAGACCGTCAGCAAGCAGGTATTGTCCGCCTGCCCACCCCCAGGGAGCCCAGCTGGCTTCCCCGACCACTCCACCCAAGCTGACCCCTCTGCCCCGCAGGGCAAGGGCCGGGCGGTGAGCCGGCTGCTGGAGAGCTTTGCCGTGGAGGACAACTTCGAGTTTGATGACAACAGCAGCTTCTCGGAGGAAGAGGAGGAAGAGGAGGAGGAGGAGGAAGCCAGCGGCCCCCTGAGCGCGGAGCAGAGCGCTGCCCTGGGTGAGCAGGGCTGGAGGGGGCGGCCTCACCGGCTTCGGGGATTCAGGGCTGCAGGCTGGGCCATCTGGGGAAGGAATGGGCAGGGCTCACGGGGCAGGCTGCGGGGGCTCGGGGCTCGGGGGGCTCGGGGCGGTGACGGGTGGGGCGGCCGCTGACACCCCTCCCTCCCTGCAGCCCGCTCGTGTGTCCTCCACAAGGAAGACCTGCAGGATGGGTTACCAGTGCTCATCCCCAAGGAGGACAGTCTGCTGTATGCAGGCAGCGTCAGGACTCTGCAGCCCCCTGATATGTAGGTCTGGGCGTGGGGACAGGCGGGAGGCTGGTGGCCGGTGGCCCTAGGCCCCTCTCACGCTCCTCCAACGCCCCCTCAGCTACAGCGTCGTCGTTGAGGGAGAGCGAGGCGACCGGCAGCGGATCTACTCGCTGGAGCAGCTCCTGCAGGAGGCGGTGAGGGGCTGTGTGGGCCACCCCTGCCCCGTCTGCCCCACAGTCTACGTCTCTGGCACCCGCATCCGGCCCTGCCCACTCACTGGCCGGTGCCCCTTTCTGTCCCGGCAGGTCCTGGACGTCCGGCCCCAGTCCAGCCGGTACCTGCCGCCCGGCACGCGGGTCTGTGCCTACTGGAGCCAGAAGTCACGTTGTCTGTACCCGGGCAACGTGGTCCGAGGTGAGCCCGCCCAGGTCTGGGCCTGGGGTTGCCAAGAGAGAACCCAAGGAGACCCTGCTTCCCAGAGGCTCTGCTGTCAGCTTCCTGCTCCTCCCTCCGGAGCAGGCAGACGGTGCTGGTCAGAGCAGCAGGACAATGGAGTCAGCTCCCTGTCACCCTAAAAACAAAGAGGGGCATGGGGGGAGGGTGCATGGGGTGAGGGAAGCTATGATGGCCCAGCTAAACCCTGGGGGTCCCTGGAAGGATCACATGGTCCTCCTGACCCCAAGGCAAGCAGTGTGGGGCCCCTGGGGTGGGAAGACTGCAATCTTTGTGAGTGGGGAAGAGGCAGGAGGGTGCTCCTGGAAGGTCTGCTGGTGGGACTCAGACATGGCGGGCCCATGTGTGCTCACACGTGCAGGTGTGTCTGCTCCCTTGGGGCCCCTGCAGCCCTAGGTTGGGGTGATGGATGGAGGTAATATGGCAGCTGAGACGGGGGTCTGAGAGGAGGCGCCTGCTCCCACGGCTGGGGGGCAACTCAGGGTCGAATGTGGTCAGGGAGCAGGGTCTGCCTGTGTCATTTGTCAGAGACCACCGAGCCTGGCCTGTCACCCTGCCTGGGAATGGCCCCCACCCCGGGGACCCCACCTCCCTGTCCCAGGGACTCACCTGGTACTGGGGGGCTCTGAGGGTGCTGAGCAGAGGCAAGCGAGGACCAGCTGATGTTGGGGTCTGCCCACCACAGGGGCCTCCAGTGACGAGGAGGACGACCTGGACTCTGTGGTGGTGGAGTTTGATGATGGGGACACAGGCCACATTGCTGTCTCCAATATCCGGCTGCTGCCTCCAGACTTCAAGATCCAGTGTGAGTGCCAGCGGGGTGCCCGGGGAGGGGGTGACCCATGGGGAGGGGGCGGCCCCGGGGAGTGGGTGACCCACGGGGAGGGGGCTGCCTGCCAGGAAGGAAGTGATCCACGGGGAAGGGGCAGCCCTGGGAAGAGGGTCACCACGGGGAAGGGGTGTCCCCAGGGAGGGGGCTGCCTACCCTGCCTGGTCCACTCCCCACAGCTGCCCTGGGCCTTGCAACCACACCTGCATCCCTGGGGGCAAGGGGTGGTGGTCACCCTGGGGCCACGCTCACAGGTCCCTGCTCTCCTTGCAGGCACAGAGCCCTCCCCAGCCCTACTGGTGTCCAGCAGCTACCGGAGAAGCAAGAAAGCATCCAGCGAGGCACCCCCGCCCAGTGAAACCCCTGCCCCCAGCCTGTCCCCCAAGGTGCATGATGGCCCCGAAGTCTCTAAGAGCCCCGGGAAGAAGTCCATCGGCAAAGACAAAGCCGGTATCTACGGGACTGCTGGGACCTGGGTTCGGGGTGGCTCGGCCCAGGTCGGTGGCCACAATGGCACTGGATGAGGTGGGTGGGGGCCATGCTGACTCTACCTGTCCCTCCCAGGCAAAGCCGACCTCCTAACCTCAGGTGCCAAACCCACCGCTGGAGCTGCGGAGCACTTCCTGGGCCGCCGGGCCGGCCCCCTGCTGAGCTGGTCCGCCGTCTCGCAGACCAAGCGGAAGGCAGCAGCGGCGGCAAGAGGGCCAGGAGCCCTCCAGAACCTCTTCCAGCTCAACGGCAGCGCCAAGAAGCTGCGCGCCCGCGAGGCACTGTTCCCTGTGCACAGCGTGACCGCGCCCGTGTTTGGCAATGGCTTCCGTGCTGCCTCCTTCAGCAGCTTGGCCAGCTCTTATGCGCCCTTTGGCGGCGGGACCGGCCCAGGCCTCCCGGGGGGTGCCCACAAGCTGCTGCGGTCCAAGAAGGCCGAGGCCGAGAAAGGCGGGCGGCGGCGGGCGGGCGGCGAGTTCCTGGTCAAGCTGGACCACGAAGGTGTAACCTCGCCCAAGAACAAGACCTGCAAGGCGCTGCTGATGGGTGCCAAGGAGCTGGCACCCAAGCTGGGCCGGCCCCTGCCTACCCCCAGCTACACGCACCCGGCCCTGGTGGGCAAGGACAAGAAGGGGCGGGCACCCGTCCACCCGCTGCCCATGGGGCTGGCACTGCGAAAGTACACGGCGGGCCAGGCCGAGTACCCGCTCCCTTGTGACAGCGACTGCCCTAGCTCCTACTCGGACGAGGACGAGGACAGCCCTGGGCTGGCGGCCGGCGTGCCCTCGCGCTTCCTCACCCGCCTGTCTGTGTCCTCGTCCTCGTCCGGCTCCTCCACCTCTTCGTCCTCAGGCTCCGTCTCCACCTCCAGCCTCTGCTCCTCTGACAACGAGGACTCATCCTACAGCTCAGACGACGAGGACCCGGCCTTGCTGCTGCAGACTTGCCTCACCCACCCCGTGCCCACCCTCTTGGCCCAGCCCGACGCCCTGCGCCCCAAGGGGGGCAGCCCCCACGCGCACGCCCAGCGCTGCTTCCTCTCCCGGGCCACAGTGGGTGGGGGCGCCGGCGCTGGTCCCAGTGGCAGCAAATCCAAGCTCAAGCGCAAGGAGGCCCTGAGCTTCGCCAAAGCCAAAGAGCTCTCCCGGAGGCAGCGGCTGCCGTCCGTGGAGAATCGGCCAAAGATCGCGGCCTTCCTGCCTGCCCGGCAGCTCTGGAAGTGGTCGGGGAACCCCACACAGGTAGGTGAGCCCCTCTCCCGGGGGAGCAAGCCCCAGACACGGAGCCCTGACCCCCTTTCTCCTTACATACCATTCCACTTCAACTAAAATTTTTGAAAACTCCCGGAAAGGACAAACCCACCTCTCCCACCATGAGCACTGTGGACAGTTCCCTTCCAGCCCTTTGTGTGTGCCTGTAAGATTGTCGCCATGATCCTCACCCCAGGCCCCGGGCTCGGCATGCGGTTTACATGGCAGTATTGCCTCAGCACATTCCCATGCCGATAAACCCCAGCGCTGGGAGGCACTGTGTTGCTGGAGGATGCACCAACCTTTTTTTTTTTTTTTTTTTTGGCCAGTGCTCTTTGGACAGACGTTTAGTTATTCATGTTGTTTAAATAAGCTTTGTTTATTAGAGCAGTTTTAGGTTTACAGAAAAATAATGCAGAAAGTGCAGAGTCCCATATGCCGCCAGCACAGTTTCTCCATATATTCAAACTCACCCAGTGACACCACGGAAGAAAGGCCTGGTGATCTGCTTCCAAAAATATTTTTAAAACCATAGCTATTGAGTCGATTCCAACTCATAGTGATCCTGTAGGACAGAGCGGAACTGACCTATTGGGTTTCCAAGGCTGTAGTCTTTCCAGAAAGAGACTGCCGCATCTTTCTCCCATGGGGCAGCTGGTAGGTTTGAACCACCAACCTTCCAGTTAGCAGCCAAGTGCTTAACCACTGCACCACCAGGGCTCTTCTGTAAAGATTACAACCAAGAAAGCCTGTCTGCGGAGCAGTTTTGCTGCGTGGCACGTGGGTTTCATTTTTGGTTTCCCACTGGTTACGGTGTATGAGCCAGAGCTGATACATTATTACTAACCAACGCCCACCCATAGTTTACAGTAGCATTGAGCGGGGTTGCTCTTGTAAACAACACTGCTATGAACATCTCACACACGTTCCCGTAGAGTCAGTGCCAATCTCAGGGTCATGGCCCAGGGCGCAGGGCCAGTCCAGGTTTCATGGATTTTGTGACCTCCCTGCAGCCATTTCTTGTCCTTACTGGCGCCCATGCACACACACTCCGGGCACGCCGTCTGCCCCTCCTGCTCGCTCCCTCTACGTTTCCCTCGCTCTGTCTCTGTTGCCCTCACCACCCTGCCCTTGGTTGCCCCCTGCAGAGGCGGGGCATGAAGGGGAAGGCCAGGAAGCTGTTCTACAAGGCCATCGTCCGGGGCAAGGAGACCCTGTGCGTTGGAGACTGCGCTGTCTTCCTGTCGGCCGGCCGCCCCAACCTGCCCTACATTGGCCGCATTGAGAGCATGTGGGAGTCGTGGGGCAGCAACATGGTGGTGAAGGTCAAGTGGTTCTACCACCCAGAGGAGACCAAGCTGGGGAAGCGGCAGAGTGATGGCAAGGTGAGGTGGCCATCCCCTCCCCTAGCACCCAGCACCCCACCACCACCCTGCAGCCTCCAGCAGAAAGCAGCCCTGCACCGGCTGTCCGGGTGCCTCCCCTCGCGGTGGCCCCTGTAGAGTGGGTGATGTCATCACCTTGGGTGCTGTGTGGTGGCCCCAGGCAGCACTCAGCACTCAGCAGGTGGAGAGTTCCCGAGGGATCACATGCTGCAGCCCACCTGGATTTCCGGCAGGATCCCCTCGCAGCCCCCATGCGCTCTCTGCTCCCTGCCACCCCCATTCACAGAGACAGAAAACGCCTCCCACACTCTGTTCCTCCCTGAGGTGAAGCCATGTTTACAGGCAGAGCAGTCTTGAGGGCAAGGAGATTTTCTCCAGCTCCAGGGCGAATGGCCGAAGAGGCCGGGAGAGGGTCCCTGGCGCTAGCCACCATCCTCTGGCTTAGTTGGGTGCCCTTCCGGTCAGAGGGCTCTCCTCTGGGCTGGGGACGCAGGGGGCATGGGGAGCCGGCGCTGACCCCTGTGGCCCCGCCCACCCACAGAATGCACTGTACCAGTCCTGCCATGAGGACGAGAATGACGTGCAGACCATCTCCCACAAGTGCCAGGTAGTGGGGCGCGAGCAGTACGAGCAGATGACCCGCAGCCGCAAGTACCAGGACCGGCAGGACCTCTACTACCTGGCGGGCACCTACGACCCCACCACCGGGCGGCTGGTGACCGCCGATGGCGTGCCCATCCTGTGCTGACCGAGGCTGGAGCCCATGCCACCTGCTGCCGCCCCCGGGGCCTTCCGCTGCTCGGGGCCCAGCCCTCCAGGACCTGCCTGGCAGGCAGCCCCATCGGGCCTCCAAGGGACTGGGCGGAGCAAATATGCAAACCCACCGCAAGAGATTCAGGCTTTTTTATTGCTATTTTCCCTGGAAAGAGCGAGCTCTTTGGCGTCGGAATCCAGTCCCATCCCATCCGCTGCGGGGGCAAGCTGTGCGCTGGGGGACCCGGCCTCGCCTGGCCTGCCTGGCCCTCTGTCCCCCGCATTGGCAGTTCTCGAGAGATTAGAATCCAAGCCATATTCTCCCCAGTACCTCCGACTGTCCCCCACCAGGGAGAGCAGAAATCAGGTGTATTGTCTATTTATTTCTCTATGTAAATATTGTATTTCTTCGGGGAAGTTTTATGAAAAAAAATGGAAAAGGTTTTTTTTTCTTTCCCACACGCGTGACGAGGGCGTGTGTGTGTGTGTGTGTGTGTGTGTGTGTGTGTTGCGTGTCTGTAGGGATTTTGTTCGGGGGGGTTGGTTTCTTTGAAAATGCACTGTTTTCTCAGCCTAGCTGAGGTGCGAACTGGGCCGTCTGTGAAGACAGAGCAGCTCCGGTCGGTCGGGAGCGGAGGCTGAAGGCCAGGGTCCCCGCGGGAGGGGAGTAGGACCTCTAGGTCACACTCTCTCATCTCTGGGGGGACTTGTAGGACGGAGTCACACTCGAGTTTATTTCCTTTCAGTCCATCTCCTGGGGAAGGTGTTTGGGGGAGGGGCAGTGATGACGGCCCCAAGGGGGGAGAAGGGCCTCAGGACGTAAATGAACCTCAGGAGGTGTCCCCACCCCGCAGTGTGACGGCAGCCGTATGTACCTTCTGTTTCATACAAAACGAACAAATATTTTTCAAGTATCCATAAGGAAAAGTGATATTTTGGTTTTATTTCCTGAATATTCCCAAATCATTTCTGAGCTCCGTTTCTATGGCTCACGTTTCAGGGAGGGCGAGGCCAGCCTCCACTCAGAGCAGAGACGGGTCCCCCTCGCCCCACTTCTGCCCCTTCCTCCTGTCTGAACCCACACTGGGGAGGGGGGCACCTCTTTCTTCTCTCACGCCCCAGCTTGTGTTTCCCCAGCTGCAGAGGTGCGTGCGAAGTGGCAGCTCCCTCTGGCCCTGTGTGGGGGTGGGAGCGCAGCAAGGACCTGGGGCTGGCACACGGGTTCCGGCCGGTCCCCTCGGCCCACCTAGTGCAGGTCTTCACACCCCGCCCCTTCGCCACCCCAAACACCCTCCGGGGTTCCCCAAAGCCTCACTGTAACAGCTCAGGGCCCCGTGGCGGGAGGCCAGGCCAGAGAAAATAAAACCGCAGGCTGATCCACGCTGCCTTCTGCGAGGGGACAGGTCCTCATTGCCTTCCTCTTCCCTCCACCCCTACCCAGGCCCCCTGGAACCCTCTACCTGCCTGGGGACGACCGGTCCCCCACACCTACAGAGGTCACTGGGTCTTTTCTGTGGCTGCTGGGTGGGCACACAGCCTCGCAGGCTCGTGCCCAGGGCATGGAACAAGGGTCTCTACCCTGGTCCGCAGGGCAGGAGGACCCGGTCACCCCTGAGACTGTGAACCCCTCCGCCCACTGCCCTAGGCACACTGCCCCAGTAACCTGGGAGAAATCCTCACCCCTCCCCTTCTCTCACAGCCAAGAGGGTCAGGCAGACAGGCTGGTACCCCAACAGCCCTTCTCTTAGGAAATGTGGTCAGAACCACCTGCACCCTATGGGTGTCACAAGAAGGCACCCCACGTGAGCACTGCCCCTTAGGACAGCCTCTTGTATGACCCCCACAGCCGCAGCTTAAGATCCGCAGGAGGTGAAAGGTCAGGCTCCTTCCCGTGGGCCTGCAGGCGGTGCTCTACAGCCCGGCCTCGGCCCTCTTCCCCGACCCTTTCCTCACATAGGTCGGAAGCCCAGCCCGGGTCTTCGCACCTCCCATGGCTGCCACTCCCCCGGGAAGCCCTCCCAGCACCTGACACCCCGCTGGCAGCATGGAAACAGCAGGGGGCCATTTTATTATCGGTGCCCCCTGCACCGCCATCGCAGCGCTCCCACCCGCAACGTTCCCCTTTGTCCCGGCTTGAGTGCAATAGTTCATTCCCGGGGGCGTCCGTGGTTCCGCGTGCAGCTAGGGACGAGGAAGGGCGTGGGGAACAGCAGTGCTCGGTGCCCGTGAGGCAGCAGGTCTGTGAACAGAACAGATTTCAAACCCCAGGGGCCATGGGTTCGAGCCGGAGCCGAGGGACCTTGTGTGGCCCTCCTGTCGCCGTCTCTTCTCCTCCTTTGCGTTTTCGACTTTCCCTTCATCCTTTGTTGTCTCCTGTCCTGTCGGTGTGTGTGTGGGTGGCGTGTCCCCTGCTCTCACCGTGGTCAAACACGGCAAAATCGCGGTTATTGTAAATGTGTAAGTAAGATGATGGTGGGAATTTTTTTCCATGTAAACACTAAAAACAAACAAAAAAACACAAAGGTTTTATGAACAGCAGACTCTATGTAAAGGCATTTTAGTATTAAATTTTTTATTGATAACTTGCTTAAGAATAAATATATGAACCATTGTACAGGTCCCCAGTGTTGGGCTCGTCACTGCCTGCGCTCCTATAGTTACGCCAGGGCCTGGGGGCCGAGGGGGGTCCCCAGCCAGCGCCCGAGGCCCAGAATCAGGTGCCTGGCCTGGCTGGACCGTCCTGGGGTATCTGGGCCTCCCCGCACCTCCTTCCTGCCCCCACTCCCCGTTCAGTAGCCGGAGTGGAACCCCTCAGGGGCCTGAGCCTCGGGCCCAGAGAGGAGCGTGTGGCCGGCGTGTGTTTGAGGCTGCCTCAGGCCCTGCTTCCAGTATGCCCCTCTCCCAGGACAAGGATCCCTTCCTGACAGCCCTCACCCAGGAGCCTCCTGGCACTTGGTCAGAGGTCCAGCCTGAGCCAGTCCGTGTGACCAGGGCGTGTTGCCCTGGAGGCGGGGGGGAGGGGGGCCGCAACCAGCCCCCAGAAGCACATGGGGGGGCTGGTCCCTGTGGGTCCCTGAGTGCCCTGGGGCCGCTGTAACCAGTGCCATGACAACGTAGGGGGCTTAAGACAACAGAGATTGAGTCTCTTGGAGTCTGGAGGTCAGAAATTCAAGCTCAAGGTGTGGGCAGGCTCTAGCGGAGGAGCCTTCCTCATCTCTTCCAGCTTCCGGTGGTTCCTGGCCATGCTTGGGGTTCTTTGGCTTTTCCGTGCGTCCCTCCAGTCTCTGCCTCCGACCTCGTGTGGCCTCCTCCCTCTGTCTCGTCTCCTCTTTTGCGAGGACACCAGTCATGTAGAGTTAAGACCCACTCCCGGGTGTACACCCAGGGGAAATGGAAACACGTGTCTACGCAGAAACCTGTGCACAGATGTTCAGAGCAGCAGGACTCATAACAGCCGAAAGGTGGAAACCACCCAGCAGTCCACCAGCTGCTGGGGGGGAGTGCCAGAGAGACCCCAGGGCCAGGCTGGTGAAGGGGGTGCCGGCCCCAAGGGGCCCAGGAATGTGGGTGGGTGGGGGTGAGCCTGGAGGGCGGGGGGCCCGTGCAGGCTAGGCTGAGTCCCACACCCAGGGGTCCCAGGAGCTCTGCAGAGGACAGAGCGGGCCCCGGGGGTAGGTCCTCCCTGGGACCCAGGCCACTGCCCTTCTCGCCCCTGTAGCTGCTGCCCCACCCCCTCCCTCTTCCCACCTTAACTCGGACACCGTGGTCCTTGCCTTCCAGCTCCCCCCTGCCCCCAGCAGGGCCTGGGCATGAGGGAGGTCAGTCAGCCGAGGGGTCTGGGCCCTTCTCGGCTGTGGAACCCCAAGGGTTAAGAACGCAAGAGTGCACTTTGATCAAGACAAACGAGCCGTTATGTGGACACTGAAGCAGGATGGATGCTGGCGCTGGGGGCGCGATCAATAAAGGTGATGTTTCATCAGGTAGAAATGATGGCCGGCTGCTCGCAATTTGTTTCTAATACCACAAACCAACTGGGGACGAGAGGCTTTAATTGTTCACCCCAAGGCGGGCAGGGCTGCCGGGGGCTGGGCAAGGTGGCCGTCTGGGCACTGGGGCCCGGGAAAAGGCCCATGGCCTGCCCAGGCCCCTCACGGTCCCCTGAGTTGCAGCCGTGAGGGCTGCACTGGGGGAGGGACGGGGCTGCCCAGGCGCTGGGTGCTGGCACTGCCCAGGCCCCTCATGGTCCCCTGAGTCGCAGCTGTGAGGGCTGCACTGGGGGAGGGAAGGGGCTGCCCAGGCCCTGGGTCAGGAAATGGACGGGCAGCACCCAGAGGAGGGACCCCTGACAGGCCACACCCTCAGGAACCTGTGGTCTCCCCCACGTTGTGGCACCCCATTGCATTCCCAGGGTCCCCTAACAAGCCAGCTCCCCTTGCTTCCAAAAGCCAGAGGACCTGGCTCGGGGCTGCCTGTCCTTCTGCGGGTGCCTGCCCCCTGGAAGCCACCTCGGGTGCTGCAGAGCATGACAGTGACCAGGCGGACAAGCCCCAGGTGGGCAGCCAGGTGTGGGTCAGCGCCCCTGGGGTCAGCTGGAGCCGGTGGAGGGACCACAAGGCCTGAGTGACCGTGCCTCGGCCCACGCCCACCCTCCAGAGAAAAGGACAGTGAAGGGGGCAGGGTCAGCGGAGGCCAGGACCAGGGGCGTGCTTGGGGACTGGCTCCCACCGGTATCACCTCAAAGAACAGCAGTATAGAGAACAGCTCCTGGCCTGGGGCCCCAGTGCTGAGGCCCCTCTCGGTCTCTGTCCTGTCTGTGAAGAAGAGACCCTGACGACCTTGCCCCCAGGTGAGACCTGGCGAGGGTCCCAGAAGACGGCACAGTAATTTCTGGACCCAGATGCAGACAGGCTGGTCAGCACCCTTGGCCCGGGGCCTTTTCCCTCCTGGCCCCAAACACTCGCAGCTCACTGCCTCCTCCCATCTCAACCTCCTTGG